AGTGGTGGTAGTGAGTTGACCACCTAGGATAGAGGACGTTATGAGTGAACTGTATACCATATTATTATAATGTTAGAGATCATTTGGATAATAATAATTAAAGACCTGTCAATCATGTCGATTGTTCTAACAGCTCGATTGTGCTAAAAACTAAGACTCACTCTTCGTTAGCTATTGCAAGATTATAGTCACCTTCTATTCATTGATCCATATCTACTTATTAAACTTTACTAATAATTCAACTATATTATTAGTCTAGTTTTCAGATAAGATTTAGGAATTATCTCAATGGCCAAAAGAAACCTGTTTTGTTAAGGAAGCTTCCTAAAAGTGGTCCCAACGAAGCACCTAATTTTTGAGCAGCTTTAACTCTTCTAATTTTTTGAGGTTTCATTTTCGGAAACATCTCATGAACACCGGAGTAGGAGAAAAATACGCCCGAGCCAAGACCTTGTAGGAACCAAATTAAAGATGTAGAAATCATATAAGAAGTGTTATCGGTTGGAAACATTCGGGTAATTTCACCCAACAGCATGCTACACACTGAATTAACCAAGCAACCTAGACAAAAATGTAATTTGCGATTTTTAACATTATAGAAGAAAAATAAAATCACGAGAGCCGCAATTAACTCGCCCAGACGACCCGCACATGACATAACACCGACTTGTATTTTTGAAATTTCTCTATTTTGTGAAAACTGGGCAAAAAAGGAGTCCAGATAAAGAGATTTAGACCATTTGAAATGTTCAGCAGAAGTCCAAGGCATAAAGCTATACAACTTCTGCTATTTAAAGGAAAGCTAATGAATTTGACCAATTTATTGAAAAAAATAAATAAAGTGTAATCGACTTAAACTCTTTGATATTAAAAAATTGGCTTCAATTTTTTCTGTAAAATGAAGCATGTACAAATCTCAACAATCGAAAAGAATCAAGCCTGATAATCAACGCTTAAGCATTTAACAACCACGCCGAAATCTATCAAAACTTTTTCAAGCTGAACAAAGTACTGAACAGTTTGATCGAAAAAAAATATTGCCATCAATTTGGCATGAGCTATAGTTTAGATAATTTTGACATGCAAAGGTTAATTTTTCAGACGAAAAGTACGCCTCAAAGTCACCTAACTAAAAAAAAATTTCCATGAAAAAACTGTTTACAAAATTGGAAGATTACTCTTAGCACAGTTAATGTCAATTTGTAAATAAACCTTGGAAGTTTCGCAGATGACTTTTTGTCGGCTTTTTATGTGAAAGCCGACAAAAAATGGCTTTTAGGCTTTTTTGCATCAGAAGAAAGTGCTTTTATCAGAAGAAACGCAATCATTTTGCATATTTGTTTTGTCAGTTCAAATGCAGTTTTGAAAAACCGATTGTAGTTTTAACACCATTTTACTGTCTCAATGTCAGAATTTTTTAAATAAGATGTCCGATAAATTTTAACAGCTTTTTAATTAATTCTCTCTGTTCCAACTTTTTGCAACTTATTATATAGCTCTTTAATTGTCTTAGATTTTTGACATAATTCTGACCTTGAGACAGTGAAACAGAAATAAAGCTACAACCAAATTGCATTCGAACTGTCAAAAGAGCAAACCAAAATGATTGCGTTATTTCAGATGTCAGTTTGTTAAAACAAATTCAAGCACTAGACTTTAAAACAGTTTTTATTCGGAAGCAACCTGACAAGCAATTGTTTAATAGAAAAGAACACATAAATCGCGGGAAGAAAGCAAACGCGAAACTTTGAAAGATCTTTCTCTAATTAGTTCAAGCTGAAAGGTCAAAATTAATTCAAAAAACTGAAACTTTGTCTAATAACTCTGTTAAAAGCATTCATTTTAATTAGTTCTGTCTTTTCCAAAATTGCGCTACTCAGAAGAGCAAACAGTTCAACCAAAAAGAGCATACAAGCGTTAAATTTAAACGGAACTTCAGACATAATTTCTGCCTGAAAACTTTTTAGGTTTTGCATGTAAAATTTTTGAATTGAATTGTTTGCTCTTTTTAATTAAATCTAACTATCAAACTTTTGCAGGTCTTTATATTATGAAATGGAGACCAAACAAGTTGAACGCATTTTAAACGCAAACAAAGTGTTTTACAGAAACTTGCGATCTGATCCAGGATAACCGGTTGCTGTGCAACTTGCACAGAAATTCCTGGCCACAGTTTTAAAAAAACACAAAGAAATAATTTTTGTGTTGATATTTATTCAAAACATGAGGGGAAGCGAAGTCATTTGATATTTGATAGCAGTTTTTTTTGAAAAACGATATGAAAACTTCAAAAAAATTACAAAATGTTCTTTGAATAAATTGCAGAGAAACAATAGTTTTATTAATTTTTATATTTCTAAAACAGATTTTAAAACATATCGAGAACTAATTTTTTTACTGATTTGACACTTAACTGGAAGAATAATACTTAGAAAATTATTACAAGACTAATATTAGACCTACTCGCTCGCTTTGCTCGATTGAAATTATTACGAGGCCAAACTGTGCACTAGATAGACACACAATTTTGTGTCTGTATGTTCGTGTATTCAAGAGACAAATCAAAAGACATGTTCAAAAATGTAAGTGGATTCCACAAACAAAAATTCCGAGCCGCGTACAAATACCTGCAACGTAAATTTTTTCGGCAATTTAGTTTTGTTGCGTATTCCACAACGAGCGAATATGAGTAATTGTTCCGAATTCCGCAAATTTCAGCCAATTCCTAAAATTTATGCGGATTCTCCTTACAATTTGCTCCTTCCAATTACAATTTGCGGATAACCCGACAGCCTAAGTTTATTAAACACATATTTAATTATTTGTTCATCCACAAACTGTTCCGCATTCGGCATAGTTTGTTGCGGATTCTGTGGAGTTGCCTATTTCTGGAGCACGTTTGAGTTAAACAGTGTTTTCGCTATTTGTTCGGGGAATCCAAAACAGCAGAGAAGATCAAAGAAAAAGTAGACACTGAAAGATTTTTCGACAAACTTCGAACGTCATTCGAACAATGTCTATTCGGGCTATATGATATATCACTCGAGCCAGTCCGATGACAAATTGTGGTACAAAATTTTGCCAGAAAAGAAAGAAAAACAACCTAAAACAAAGTTCTTCCCCATTTACAATGGTCTGAACAAAAAAGTATCAATTTAAGAATGCTGAAAACTTTAATATTACAACTGATGCATTAAAAGAGACGCACAAAATTGGTATCTTGCGTACTTCCTTTTGGAGTTTACTTTGGTTAGCCAGTAAGAACGTGGAAAGAGCAATTGTAGAAAATTCCCATTTTTATGTCAGTGTTCTTCCGCAGCTGCCCATGAATTGTGTTAACTGCTTGAGGTCTTAATTTCCCAGCAAAGAAAACTTATAAACACAGTTCAAACATTCAGTACAACGTACTTTTGCAAACTTTTGTAACAATCAGTTACACTAATTAATTTCCAAAATAGAATTCTTAAAACAAAAATACTCAGACTGATTCGTGTACAAAATTAAACATGCCGACTTCCCCTTTTCAAGGCAACAGAAAATCTTAAGCAAAATTGAACATTCGAGAAGACTTAATGATTGGCTTTTTTAAAATTCCGGACTAATAGAATTTTTTTATTCTGCAGGTAAGCAGTAAATTAAATCAGAAACAGGTGTGAAGCATGACTGGGCAAACACGATGAAGAACGGTATGCATAAATAACTTGTAGTTTAAGCGCTACTTTCATTGCCTTGAAAAAAAAAGAATTTTGGTTGATTTTCAAGTATAATTTTCACAGAATTGATTTTTTTCATTGAATCTTTTGTCTTACCATAAAAAAGACTTTGGATGAACAAATTAATCTTACACTCAGTGCTGAACTAAATTGAATCCAGGAGCGAACATCACACTGAGATGAAATTGCTCTTGCAAGCACAACCAAATATCTTAAAACACACGCTGACGTAAAAAACTGGACTGAAACGGCAAAAATACTAGCTCTGAAAAGGTCAAAAAAGAAAGAGTTAGGATTTATCTAATCTGGAGGTAAAGTGTCTAATCTCGACTTCTTAGCATCTGCGCCATGATGGCTCAACAATCACTTAACACTAGCCACCATTAAACCAAATAAAATAATAGCATAAGTCAGCCAGATATAATTCTTTTGCGGCTACAAAAGTATCACCAGATAAATGAGCACTTCTTTTTGTGACTTCAGTCTTTAATATGTTAACTGACTCCTCCGGTGTGAACACTTTAAGCTGATAGGCTTTTTAATTGGCTAAAAACGAATAGATAAGGAAAATATTTCATAATTTTTTTTATTTGGTGGTCAAAATACGGTCATTTACTATATCAATTATCAGTTTGATCTAATTTATTCAAAAAACTGTCCCAGTAGTTTTTGCGAATATTCCACGCAAACAAATCGACTGGAAACTGTTTTTTTTTCGGACAAATTGTTCGGTTCGAGTTTCAGTAATAACGTTCAACCATATTGCTTCTCTAGTTGAAATAATAGGTTCCTAATTCATAATTAGTTGCCTAAATGAGGCCCTTTTGAGAAAAATTTGTTAAAGTTTCATTTTTTATTTGTTTCGCCCGGTTAGTTTAAATCAGCAGTTTTTAAGCTAAATTTTTGACACTTCTGTACTTCCTTGAATCAGAATTTCCAAGAATCGAACATTTACTACTTATCTCTTCACTGCTGCAAACATTCGGTACGCTTCGAAAATTCGTGTGAAGCAATTTATGCCTTTAATCTAGTTTGTTTTTTCATCTACTCAGCGACAATTATGTTTGTTGCCGGTTAAGTATATTTCAAATTATTGGTGAAATTCCGCCAGGTTAAAGGTCGTACCCAGGAAAGTTCAAGCGGGCATACAGCTTTTGTGTTACCACTCCAATCTTGTGTCGTTGCTGCATAAATTGGTTTACAGTGAGAAAAAGAGCTTGACTATCTGCAAGAAATGTTACAATATTTTGGAAATTTCCTGTTTCTTCTAACTGGCTTAATTCAGAATTTCAGAGACAATCTAAATTAAATTTCTACACAACTTCAAATTGACAAACCAATATACTAACACTACATAAACGCCACACATTATCGCTTTTTTATTTCAATTTTATGCGGCAGCATTACGTGTTTTTCAAAATCAGCTATTAGATCAAACCTCTTTCCGCAAATTGCACAAGTCAGTTTACTTGATTCAAAATCTTCGCTGAATTCTTGATCTGATACACACGGCGATTCCAAATCAACTGTTTCGATCGCTTTGAAAGCTCGTTTCGTACTTGTATTTAGAATATTATTCGCCTCTGTTGGAAATTGTTCTATTAATTCTTTCTGAGAATTCACATTTTTCTCGTTCGGCGGTTCGATGTTGTTCTCAATGGCACGTATATTATCCGCATGTACCGATCTAATATGTTGCAGAACTAGAGTTTTCGTCGCATATCGCCCCAGACAGATAAGACACTGTTTGGTTTCTATGTCAACATAAATGGACAATTCTACATCTGATATTCGATTTGTTATAACATCTCCCGGAGTTTTCGATTTGTGAAGATGCGTTGCTTTTTCGCCATCGGAACCTTCGAGATCTTGTAGTAAATCGTTCACGTCTTGTTCAACTGAGTCCTCGACATTTGGTTTTCGATTTTCTCTTCCTTTTGCTAATTTTCTGCTATGTTTGAATCTATCAACTAGCGGTTTTTTCAGCGAGTTTTTTGCTACTGAAGCGCCAAGACCCATAGACTCATGCAAACCATGGACAAATTTCTGGTGCCTAGTTAATGTGCGTTCATTTGCATACCTTTTGTGACAATAGGAACACTCCAAAGCATACGGTTGTTTACCTTTGTTTATTTTATGCACTGATTTATGACGAACTAGACTGCCTCTGTTACTAAAGGTAGTTTCGCAGTCGTTGCATTTGAACCGATTTTTTCTTTTCCCCGAGAAATTCAAGGTCGAGACTAATGTATTAAGCTCATCTTGTTCCTCATTTACAGATTCGGCTCCAACTACAGTCGTCTTATCATTACTTTCTGCTCTTTGAACTAAAGCAGGACATTCAAGTTTTAAATGTTGGTCTTTCTCGTGCATTGAAGGGAAAAGTTCGGAACAGTTTGGACATTCGACTAGCTCTGCATAACCTCCATTGAAATGTAACCTTGACCCCGGGCTTAAATTTGACCTTTCACTCAAAGCAAACTGTTGCGGATCATCGACAACATTTACTAATTCATCGTCGTCAGGTAACTTTTGTTGCGTATAATCATTTTCTTGCAATTCAGTCGAAACGGCAAACGACTGGGAATTTGGTTGCTCTCTATTTGAAATTTGACTTCCTGTGTTTTCGCTGTTGCGTTTGTCTCTTCGAATCTTGTCGCGAAGATCACTACTCGCTGAAAACAAATCAAGGATGAACTTTTAACGATAGTAGCTTTATTATGCGAATAATTCCAAATTGTTGGCAATATGGGCAAATAGGAGACACTTAATAGACCGAAAAAATACAGTTAACAGCGTTGGAAAAATTACATTAGAGTCGGAGTCAACCGGACAAATTGTAACTTCTAGATATTAAAAAAAAAACAATATTCGAAAAAAAAAATTGAAAAAAAAAAATAATAATAATTTTTGGAAAAATATTATCTGAAACCTCTTTGAAAGTCAACAATTCCTTGCGATTGATTTTTTTGACAGGAATTAATCCAATTTGAGAAAACTATTCAGTAGATATACTTGTTGATAAAAAAAACGCTTCAAGTTTTACTCTCGGAAATGCCTAATTTCAACTATCATTTTGTTGGACAACTTTTACTTGAACTTTCATCAATATTTTTACATCGGCTGTAAGGACATGATCTCAACAACCCTTAAGGTATTATCAAAAATTGGATTCACGAAATAACTAGTTTATCCGGGTCTATCCGTTTTTTTGCTGAGAATGTTTCCAATCACATGAATGACTTCTTTTTCTGCTCATTCGACAAACCATTCACTGCGATTGAAAACTTATTGCGGATGTTGAAAACTTGCATTTTGAGAAATTGATAATCTGGCTAAGTGCTTGAACTCAACTATTTGTTTAAAATGATGGATGGATGCTGTTGAAAATGGGATCGCATGGCATGGGTTCTCGAATGACCAGAGTAAGAATTCCTTCATAAGATACGAAAAATTCTCAGAAGAAAAATTGAAGCATTTAGTTAAGAACGTTTACTCACGACCGATTTAATTTTTTGTTTAAGTTCTAGGTAAGTGTTAATAATGGCTATATAAGGAGAAGAGGAACTATTTCAGAGCATACGTTCAATCTCTTAAATATGTATTTCAGAGACTACGTTATTCAAATCACTTAACTCTAGTTCCCAGCAATTGCCTGGTTTGCTAGTGTAAGACGCATACTCTCGCAAGTGTACTTATCCGTTTGGTCGACTCAAGGAATTGAATGCCGTACGTCGTGATCGAAGTTACGTATGGCATTTATTTCTTCTTTCATGCTTTTGATAGGCAAGGGTTATTTTTCTTTCCGATTTTTTCTCATAACTTCTATATTAGCAACGCAAATTTAGTCTTTTTTCAAGTGACATTTATCACCTCTAGGTTGCGTTTCGAGGGTCTTAACTTCTAGTGTAAAAAAAATTAGGCGTAACCGCTTTCCCACAACCCGTTCTACCCATTAAAACCAAATCTCAGATTTGGCAGGGTAGTTTTCGAGAAAAATAATTAAGTTTAAGAAAAACTGTCAAAAATTGACATTTCCGAGATTCACTATTTTTTGTATTAAGCAAGGGAGCTTCTCACAACCCATTAAACCTATTGAAACTAAAATCTCAGATTTTAGAGTGTAGTTTTTGAGAAAAGTCAAAAAGTTTTCAAAAACGGTCAAAAATTTGACTTTTCCGAGGTTCATAACTTGTTGACTAAAAAGTTTAGGCGTAACCACTTAAGCAGCGCAGCTTCTCAAAAACTTTTCTACTTATTCGATCAACACCTAAGATATAGGAGGGTCGTTTTCGAGAAAAGTCAAAAAGATTTAACAAACAGTCAAAAAAACGAAAACTTGACTTTCCGGAAGGTCAAAACTTGTGTAAAAATTTAGGCTTAATCATTTATGCAGCGGCGCTTCCCACAAACCATTCTACTCAATGAAACCAAAAGCTCAAATTTGGGAGGGTTTTTTGAGAAAAGTCGAAAAGTTTCAAAGTTTCAAAAATTCAAAAAGTTTCTTTCCATTGAAACCAAAATCTCAGATTTGGAAGAGTAGTTTTCGAGAAAATGTAAGAAAAAAATCCAAAATCATGGGTCAAAAACTCCACCACACACTTCTTCGAAGGCTAGAGAAAGTGGGGTAAGGTAAAAAGAGATTAGGGGAGTATGCATACAGGGGAGGGGGCGGACTTTCCATTGTTACCACTTTTTGGAAAATCAGCAGAGTAGCTTTTGAGAGAAGCTAAATTTTTGAAAAAAAGTGAGAAATTTTTCCAAAGCGTCTCAAAAAATACCCGATCCTATACATTTTCATAATACCTGTTTTTTATCAAACAGAAACATTAATTGATAAGATTTATCAAAATTAATATGGTTCAATCACATCTTTTGCAAATTTTGGAGATTTTAAACTTCTAGAAGTTTTTGAGCTGTAAAAGATGCCCCTTTTGATATAACTTTTTTCTCAATTAACTCGGTAGTTTTAGCGTGATTTTTGATTAACTTGGAAAATCCAAAATGCCCCATTCTTGACGTAAAAATTTTGGTTCCGAAACTCATAAACTAAATTGCACCATATTAATTCTGGTTAAAACTGGTTGAGCAATTTCTATGTTTTACTATGTTTTACTCTTCATTTTTTGTCTAATTTTAACCCAATTCGAAAAAAAACGTGTTTGAAGTTTCCAATGGTTGCTCATTTTGGCCGGATAATTCAAATCCGGTTTGTACCTGCCAGTTTTGAGCAACTTTTCCAGGTGACCTTGAGTCATACTTTGTCTGAAAAATTAGCTTTTGCATGCAAAAATGGTGTGAAGAAGGTCATTTGCATTTTTTCTTTAATTTTTTCTGTTCCAAAAACGATCTGGTATCAAAAGTCTACGTTTACCTGAAGATGCAGACATCACAGTGTCGCCTCTAGAGTCTTGCGTGCTTTTCTGAATGCGCTCACTAAATGGGAACTGGGAACTGTAGCGAGACTGTGTCTGCGGAAAGTCAGCTGGTTCAGGTAAATCTTCAAGCAAAGGCTGGTTGTCTAAAAAAAATTGCATATCTGTTAATCATACAATAATATTACAAAAAAATGGTAATTAAAAAACAGACAAAATAATTTTGAAATAAAAACTTACTTTCCCTTCTCAATGATTCTTGTCACGAAAAAGGCTTATACCCACTCCAAATTGAGTCTTTACAGTTTCCATATTTGTAAAAAAAAATGACCTCAAACATTTCAATCAGTTATTTTCTTCGTCTATGTTTTAGTATGCTAAACTCTTTAGCTAAAATTCTGCGAAATTCTTTACTTGAAATTGCCTTTTTGAAGTCCGTTTCAGCAGAAATTAAAATGGCTAGCATAAAAAGAGTCAAATTCAAGTACTTCAATTCATAGAGAATGTAACGTGTGACCTTGAAAAGCTTAGAAGATAACATCCATCTTTTTCTTCGGTTCGTCTGTCTGATTAATGAAAAAACACTGATTTTCACTAACTTGTGACCGTGGAATGTGGGAGCTGCATGTGAGTTCCGGTAGGTGAGGTCGCATTCTGCCCAAAATTGACATCCTCGTCATCAATTTCCTCATCTCCGCACTGTTTTTTGTGCTCAAAGTAGACCTGCAGAGACCGGAAAAGGTTGAGGCACGAGCTAGAAAATGAAGTAAGCGTTAAGTGCCATTCGCATTTGTATCTGAGACTTGGTTTCAAAACTTCACTTTGGGCACTGAAACGGTATTTGGGTCCATACGAACAAAAACAGGGGAAGAATAAAAACTTTATTTGCCAGATGAAAATAAATTCGAAAGTACAAGGTGCATGTGATACTTTTTAAATTTGTTCAACAATAAAAATTTTTATGAAAAAAGCGCACCAGCTGGATAGGGCCATTCCAGCATTTTACTTAACATAAACATATAATATACACAGAGGCGAAGCTGCGCTTTGCAAACACTAGCGAGAACACGACCAAAAACAGCTCTATCAAATGATATAAGAAAAACAAACCTCGAATTAGAAAAAACTCGGGGCTTAGCAGAAACTCGAATTTTACCAAAAATCTGCAACCTAGCAAATTTGGCTCTCACGCACTAACCATTCAGCCACTGATGCTTAAATTCCCCAAAAACTAGCCAACAATAACGCAGCTACATATGCTAATAAATCTGTATTCGATGCAGCAAAAGTAGCACAAAATACAAAAAGATAAAACTTTGCATGCAATAAATTGCAAATCATAAAACCACATTATGTAGAAATTATGCATTTTAAAAAAATGCGAGATATTTTGTGAAAAAAATTCTGAAATCCGGATTTTAGTATTGTTATGTTATTTGAAACAAAAAAAAAACAGTTAACTTAAAACTATTCGAATGTCGAAGCATATGTTATCAATAAGCTGTAAAGGTCCATCAAATAAGCTGCCATGCCAATTCGGTGCAGCAAATAATGTTGATTTAAAGCGCAGCATTATTTGCTACTTAAATGCAACAAAATTTGCGACTTAGGTTGAAAAAAAAAGTGCGTGCCATAACACTTTGCTCCGCGAGTGTAATCACCAGATTCAATAGATCAAAAATATCGTTATCAGGGTTAAAAACTTTTCCCGGAAAGATTTCACAAATTTTCAATGAGCTAATGCAAGTCCCATCAGTTTCTTGAGAACTCAACTTGCTCTAGTACTTATGCCTCGAGTGACAATTGTGAATGAACACCCTTCAAGCGTTTATCGAGTTGCAATGAAATTTTACACACAGAGATGAAGCAGAGCTTCGCACCACTTTCGATAGAACACGAACATAAAAAAACACAAGTCCAAGAAGTATGGAGGTAGCTGTTTGGTATTTTTTTGAAATATGCTATACTGATCAGGGACGAAATGGGCAATTTAAAAAACAGGACTTTGCGCAACACCTAAGTGAGAAAATAAATAAGTTAAAGGGTGAAAACTGTTGTGAAAATTTTTGAGAAATAAAAATCTTCCCAAAAACTTACAAAAAATACAGAGTCGCCGCTTCCATAGGAAAAGTTCTCATAATCGGTTCTTCCAATCGAACGCTTCCATTCAGATTTGATAGGGTAGATTCTAAGAAAATCATGAAGTCTCTAACAAACGGTCAGTTCAATAACATGACTTTCCGAAATCCATAACTTTTACTGCAATTAAACAGGTCGTGAAGGCAGACAACATTCCCATAACCGGGTTTCTTGATTGAGCCCAAACACTTTCTCTAAAAATTGGCTGGGTACTCAAAAAGATTCCAAAAAACGGTCAATAAGCAAAAAATTGCTTCTTCCGCTTTGATTTTCGTAAAATTTTTCCCTTTAACTTCTGATAATTTTCATCATACTTAGCGTTTCCTTAAATTAATTTTTCGTTTTTATAAATTTTTGAATTGACATTTTCTTTCTTCCACGCCAAAACCTATTTCTGGACTAAAATCTTAATGTTAGCTCCCTGCTCCTGAATTCGGCTCTTTTTCCTTTTCCCCCCCACCTGCAAAATTTTACTAGTGAAGTTTTGTTCACTTTATCCGAATGTTACAAAAATTGGCATGCGAGCTAATTAGGCCATGACAAACATTTTTGGTCTTCATAATTAACCTTGTAAAACCCCTCGTTACACCGTAAAATTGACGCTTATGTGAGGTGGGGGGGAAAAGGAAAAAGAGCCCTGAATTCATTCCGCGTGTTAATCACTGGAATCTTCTCGTGTTGATCCCCGGAAAAACTTAATATCTTCGATGATAACTTAAACCAATTAAGTTAAAGCAATTAAGCAGTAGAAGAGTGAGCTGATCAGGGAGGAGGGGGTTGGTGAACTCCATGTTTTAAGATAGAGAATAGAGCATCCGGTCACCAAGCTTTGTTTAAAGATAGGGAATAGAATTCCTTTAAGATAGGAAATAGGTTTCCTAATGTATTGAGATAGGGAATGGTAATTTTTCAGTGTGATGGTAAGATGGTAAGTTGAGAAATTTTTCTCGCCGCCCGATCTTACCATGTTTTAAGATAGTGTATAGATTTCTCTATATAATAAAATTAGACCTTCATGTATTAAGATAAGTTTTGTCACGAAGTTTGAGATGATAAGATAATAGAATTCGAAAAAATTTTGGCATCTGAAAGTAATTTCGAAAAAACAAATGTATGTAATATTTTTTATATTAGTTCAATAATAAATATTTTATGAAAAAAGCGCACCAGCTGGATAGGGCCATTCCAGCATTATATTCAACATAAACATATAATATACACAGAGGCGAAGCTGCGCTTCGCAAACACTAGCGAGAACACGACCAAAAAACAGCTCTATCAAATGATATAAGGAAAACAAACCTCGAATTAGGAAAAACCTGGGGCTTAGCAGAAACTCGAATTAGCAAAAATCTGCAAGCTAGCAAATTTGGCTCTCACGCACTAACCATTCAGCCACTGATGCTTAAATTCCCCAAAAACCAGCCACCAATAACGCAGCTACATATGCTAATAAATCTGTATTCGATGCAGCAAAAGTAGCACAAAATACAAAGATAAAACTTTGCATGCAATAAATTGCAAAACATACAACATTATGTAGAAATTATGCATTTTAAAAAATTGCGAGATATGTTGTAAAAAAAATCCTGAAATCCGGATTTTAGTAGTGTTATGTTGTTTGAAACAAAAAAAAAACAGTTAACTTAAAACTATTCGAATGTCAAAGCAAATGTTATCAATAAGCTGTAAAGGTCCATCAAATAAGCTGCCATGCCGCAAATAATGCTGCTTATAAGTCGCAAATAATGTTGATTTAAAGCGCAGCAATGTTGCGACTTAAACGCAACAAAATTTGCGACTTAGGTTGAAAAAAAAAGTTCCTGCCATAACACTTTGCTCCGCGAGTGTAATCACCAGATTCAATAGATCAAAAATATCGTTATCAGGGTTAAAAACTTTTCCCGGAAAGATTTCACAAATTTTCAATGAGCTAATGCAAGTCCCATCAGTTTCTTGAGAACTCAACTTGCTCTAGTACTTATGCCTCGAGTGACAATTGTGAATGAACACCCTTCAAGCGTTTATCGAGTTGCAAGGAAATTTTACACACAGAGATGAAGCAGAGCTTCGAACCACTTTCGATAGAACACGAACATAAAAAAACACAAGTCGAAGAAGTATGGAGGTAGCTGTTTGGTATTTTTTTGAAATATGCTATACTGATTAGGGATGAAATGGGCAATTTAAAAAACAGGACTTTGCGCAACACCTAAGTGAGAACATAAATAAGTTAAAGGGTGAAAAATGTTGTGAAAAAAATGTTGTGAAAATTTTTGAGAACTAAAAATCTTCCCAAAAACTTAAAAAAAATACAGAGTCGCCGCTTCCATAGAAAAAGTTCTCATAATCGGTTCTTCCAATCGAACACTTCCATTCAGATTTGATAGGGTAGATTCTAAGAAAATCATGAAGTCTCTAACAAACGGTCAGTTCAATAATATGACTTTCCAAAATCCATAACTTTTTCTGCAATGAAACAGGTCGTGAAGGCAGACAACATTCCCATAACCGGGTTTCTTGATTGAGCCCAAACACTTTCTCTAAAAATTGGCTGGGTACTCAAAAAGATTCCAAAAACGGTCAATAAGCAAAAAATTAATTCTTCCGCATTGATTTTCGTAAAATTTTTCCCTTTAACTTCTGATAATTTTCATCATACTTAGCGTTTCCTTAAATTAATTTTTCGTTTTTATAAATTTTTGGATTGACATTTTCTTTCTTCCACGCCAAAACCTATTTCTGGACTAAAATCTTAATGTTAGCTCCCTGCTCCTGAATTCATTCCGCGTGTTAATCACTGCAATCTTCTCGTGTTGATCCCCGGAAAAACTTAATATCTTCGGTTATAACTTAAACCAATTAAGTTAAAGCAATTGAGCAGTAGAAGAGTGAGCTGATCAGGGAGGAGGGGGTTGGTGACCCCCATGTTTTAAGATAGAGAATAGAGCATCCGGTCACCAACCTTTGTTTAAAGATAGGGAATAGAAATCCTCTGTTTTAAGATAGGAAATAGGTTTCCTAATGTATTGAGATAGGGAATGGTTATGTTTCAGTGTGATGGTAAGATGTTAAGTTCAGAAATTTTTCTCGGCGCCCGAGCTTACCATGTTTTAAGATAGTGTATAGATTTCTCTATATAACAAAATTAGACCTTCATGTATTAAGATAAGTTTTGCCACGAAGTTTGAGATGATAAGATAATAAAATTCGAAAAAAATTTGGCATCTGAAAGTAATTTCGAAAGTACAAATGTATGTAATATTTTTTATATTAGTTCAATAATAAATATTTTATGAAAAAAGCGCACCAGCTGGATAGGGCCATTCCAGCATTTTACTTAACATAAACATATAATATACACAGAGACAAAGCTGCGCTTCGCAAACACTTGCGAGAGCACGACCAAAAAACAGCTCTATCAAATGATATAAGGAAAACAAACCTCGAATTAGGAAAAACTCGGGGCTTAGCAGAAACTCGAATTAGCAAAAATCTGCAACCTAGCAAATTTGGCTCTCACGCACTAACCATTCAGCCACTGATTCTTAAATTCCCCAAAAACTAGCCACCAATAACGCAGCTACATATGCTAATAAATCTGTATTCGATGCAGCAAAAGTAGCACAAAATACAAAAGATAAAACTTTGCATGCAATAAATTGCAAATCATAAAACCACATTATGTAGAAATTATGCATTTTAAAAAATTGCGAGATATATTGAGATAGAAAATTTCTGAAATCCAGATTTTAGTATTGTTATGTTGTGTGAAATAAAAAAAAACTTAACTTTAAACTATTCGAATGTCAAAGCATATGATTTCAATTAGCTGTAAAGGTGCAATACATAAGCTGTCATGCCAATTCGGTGCAGCAAATAATGTTGATTTAAAGCGCAACAATAATTGCGACTTAAACGCAATAATATTTGCCACTTAGGTTGCAGAAAAAAAAAGAAAGTTCGTACCATAACACTTTGCTTCGCAAGTGTAATCGCCAGATTTAATAGATCAAAAAAATCGTTATCAGGGTTAAAAAAATTTCCCGGAAAGATTTCACAAATTTTTCAATGAGCTTCTACAAGTCCCATCAGTTTCTAGAGAACTCAACTTGCTCTAGTACGCATGCCTCGAGTGACAATTGAGAAGGAACACCCTTCAACCGTACATCGAGTTGCCATGAAAACTGTGTTCCAAGAAAAACCAGTGTAAAAATTTCGTCTTTGGCCTGATTGTAGGTTTCATGCGAGTATGAAGATCTCAATTCAATGGTGGAATGATACATTACTTCAGCGATTAGTTACTAGTTGGCAGACCTAAATTTACATCCCCGTCTAAAATTTTACGTAGTTTCCAATTTATGGTACGAGCAAATTTGATTCTCACTTGCATTGGACAATGAATGTGCAATCTTCGCTGAGCTGCTTTTGAGTCAAAATATCATCACAATCCATCGCGGTCAACAAATCTTTCATAGTAATAACATCATCAAGCCAGTCTTCCTGCTTAAGGACTACTTCCATTATCACCACCTGAAATAAACTTGACACATTTTTCTGATGGCAAAACATCACTTTATTCAATATGACATCTTTAGCTGAAAGAAATGTTACACACAGAGACGAAGCAGAGCTTCGCACCACTTTCGATAGAACACTAACATAAAAAAAACATATGTCGAAAAAGTCTGGAGGTAGCTGTTTGATATTTTTGAAAAATGCTACACTGATAAGGGATGAAAAGGGCAGTTTAAAAAACTAGACTTTGCGCAACACCTAAGTGAGGAAATAAATTAGTTAAAGGGTGAAAAATGTTGTGACAATTTTTGAGAAATAAAATTCTTCCCGAAGACTTACAAAAAATACTGAGGCGCCGCTTCCATAGGAAAAGTTCTCATAATCGGTTCCTTCAATTGAACCCTTCATTTCAGATTGGATAGGGTAGTTTCTAAGAAACTCATAAAGTCTCTAACAAACGTTCAAAAGTTCAATAACATGACTTTCCGATATCCATAACTTTTTATGCAATGAAAAGGTCCGAAAGCAGACATTCCCAAAAACGGGTTTCTCGATTGAGCCCGAACACTTAACCTAAAAATTGGCAGGGTAGTCAAAAAACTTCCAAAAAACGGTCGAAGCAAACAATTGCTTCTTCCGCGAATAAAAAATTTGTTTAAAAATATGTGGGCGAGGCCGCTTGTACTCAGCCGGTCGGTCATATTTGGAAATTTGACCTCGAGCTGAACGTTTAAACTTAACTTTGGTGAGAAAAGTAATTTTTTCAAATTTTCAAATTGAGACCATTATGCTCAAGTTTCTCGAGACAACTGAAAATACGAGAAAAAGCAATCAGAAGAGTCGAGTGATAATCGCGGGAAAGTTGCTGAAAAATACTGGAGTAAAATTGCTATTCGCACATGATGGGGTAAAATAGCTATTCACCAGAAGATTCACACAATCTGCTAATTCGATTTAACGCAAAAACTCGACGAATGGATAGAGCAGTTTTTGAGAAAAGTCAGGTAGGAATTAAAAATGTAAAAAACAGATTTTCTCGCACCTTTGCGCATCATCAGGTGTCTGACATCCGACCAGAATGCCGTCGAATTTAGTTACGACAAGATGCATTTTATTCAGAAGGAATTGACCGAACGATAAGTCAATTATGGCGATTAGCGAGGTTATCTGAAAGAAAAACTGCATTGTTTTGAAATCGATTACTTATTTTTAAAAGTTCGTTTCAAAATCAACACACCTGACAACTTTAGAACTTCACGAAACCTGAAAAAAAAATCGACGTTAGGAACGTAAAGAACGAACAATCAATATTGGAAAACAGATGCTTTCCTGTGCCATTCTGTCAGACTGGCCAGCGCAACCTTCCGGACGAAGCACGAATCAGAGAGAAAAGGCCTTAACGCGGAGAAGTGCTTGAAAGGAGGGTCGAACGAAAGATCGTGAAACTTTCTTTTTTCAAAATTTCGATCGTCAAGTTGATATTTCTCAGAAATACGAAAAACGGCCATTTTGACCAGAAACGCTGAGAAAAAAAGAACAACAGCAAATCTAGTGAAAAACAGTCACACGAGAACGATAGAAAAACGGAGCCTCTTATCGTGGCAATCACGCACAATAAGACCATTCGGTGGTGGAAAGGACGCTTCGGTGGTGGAAAGCAGTACCCTCCCGTGCCACGAATTTGGAGTGATAACAACGTTATCTCGAGGAGAACACGGAAGCGGAGGCTTGGTCCCCCAGAGACTGTTATATGGTGAAAGACTATAGAAAACTAACTTTTTGGGTACTCTGATGCCATAGAACTCTGAATTGACACCGGTATTATTTGGTATTTTAAAATATGAGCAGCTAGGAAGAGGAAAGGGTCAATCCATCTATGGATTTAATATAGAACTGTCACCACAAACATATTAAAATAGGGTATTCGAGCCGTGTTTTCAATAGCAATCACGTAGTCTGAGGATCCGAGACTCAGCTATGTGGTTGTGCTCGCATGTAAACGAAAGCTGATCAAAAGTCGTTTGACTGCTGGCCTAAAAACAGTAACTTTTAACTTGGCCCTAAACAGACCAGAAAATCAACTGGCAAGGTCGAGACGGTGAAAAACGAGTAAAATTAGGGTAATTGACGCCTGCCAGTCGTTAATAGGTACTTTTTCTACTCTCCGTCGCTGTGTAGTTTTTGGGCGAATGTTACATAGACGTTTTCATAGCGCTCCTGGGTGGCCTGTTAAAGGCATGAGACCATCATGATCAGCAAACGTTTCAGCGATGAACCCTCTGCTCCGGGCGTAAGCCCGAGCTAGAGGCCTTAATGACCTTTATTGTTCTAGGGGGAAGGTGCGTACCCTCCGCCTAGTACTATTTAGCTTTTTAACTTAGTTAACAACGAAAATTCCGGGGGCCAGAGCGTTAGGTGGGAAGTCATGAGCCCGCTTGTCCCAAGGTCCCGGGATCAAAACCATTTAAAGAGAAAACGTAAAACCAAACAAAATTAGTGTATAACCAAGAAAAAGCCAAAAGAAAAATTTACTTGAAAACAAAAAAGTACAAAAAACAGTAAAAAATCCAAAAAAGACCAAAAACAGTAAAAAAAAACATGAAGTGACAGTTAATATGTTGTTTCCGGACGAGATGCGATTTGACCTTCCTATTTGTTGTTGTTTCAGATTGATTTATATCATTTCCGATAGAAAGATTGTGTGTTTTGTTGAAGGGTTGGGTACCCTCCCTTGAATGTAATTTGAGCGTTTAAGCACGTTACGGTGACCGGAGGGTAGAGTGGCAAGCTGACCGACGTGTTCCACACTCAACAGGGACATCAGGGACAACGTCCACAACGACTGTTGGGTATCGTTGAAACAATTTTAGTATCGTTCGGGAACTATTTCATTAAAACTTAAGTGGTGGGGGGCACGATTGGCGCGGTCCGATTGTACCCTCCGTCGATCACAAATCTCCGCGTTAAGGGTCTTAATTCGGGTATTTTGGTGCAAAGGAGGGTATAGTAACATTCATTAACGACTATTAATTGGTTATTATCCTTATTATATATTACCTATCTCCTATTTAGACCCAAGAAGCACCCAAATTTTGTCGAAAATTACCGATTTTCGACCAAACTATAGAACCCCAAAATTTTTGGATATCCGAGCTTTTCCGAACAGCAAAAAGCTTTTACATAGAGAGTAGCTACGTATTTCGATCCCCCTGACTAAAGAAACCGCGTGAGAAAAGACTCAGTAGAAGTTGGAAAAAACGAAAAATGTTCGATCAAAATTTCGATAATTTTCTGAATTTTGTCAATCTGTTTTGGGGATCGAGTTTTTGAGTTTTTAGAGTTAGAGCAATAATTTTTTTGTCTTGGGAGCGTGCTAGCATAGCGTGCTCGGCTGCCAGAAAAATTCTTGAGTAACCCTCCGATTAGCTCCGTGGATAGAGCTAACGACTTAAGGATTGGAAAAGGAAGGAATCGGAGGGTCCAAATTTGATAGTTATTGGCCAAATTTTTGTCTCCAAACCAATTTTGGTCCTGTTTTTTGCATTATTCCAGTGCCATACAGGGCTAATACGCTCGTTTCAATTAAATTTAGGCACTTTCAATAGGAATTGCGGAAAAAGTTTTTCAGAAACTATATAGGTGGTGAAAAAAGGCCATTTGGACAAACACGTTTTTGGCGATTTCTCAAAGACTAGCCAACCGATCGGGTTAATTTTGGTACCATATGTCGACGCTTTTGACTACTTATTGACCCTCCTTAGTGAGTTAAGGGGGACCCTCCGAAGTCTCTTGGGTGACTAAGAAACCCTCCGAAGTAACCCTCCGGAGTGACTTAAGCCCCTTAGCAACCCTCCTTAGTGGAAAATTTCCACGAGACCCTCCGAAGAAGTTAAAACAGTCCCTCATAGAAAATTTAGCTTGTTTTGACGCCTTCGTAAGCTAGTTGAAGGCCCTTTTCAAAAATTTGAATTTTTTGGAAGGAGCCTCCGAAGTAACCCTCCGGAGCTTATTAAGCCTGTTATTGACCCTCCTTAGTGAGTTAAGGGGGACCCTCCGAGGTCTCTTGGGTAACTAAGGTACCCTCCGAAGTAACCGTCCGGAGTACGCTAAGTGTCTTAACAACCCTCCGAAGTAACCCTCCGGAGTGGCTTAAACCTCTTGGCAACCCTCCTTAGTGAAAACTTGGGGAAACCTTCTGGGGCAATTTGAGAAACAGAAAATATCCATTTAGGGTTGGGAAAAGAGGTCAACTAACAACGGGCGTGCATATTAGGATCATAGGAACCCATTTGACCCGGAAATTTGTGATCAACTTTTGATTTAGATCGGGTGCATCAGAAGTACCCGAACCAAAAATTTTTTTGATTGTGATTTGGGTTGTGTGGTTGTCTTGTGCTACTTAATAGGAAAGCTCGGCAATCCGGAAACACATAGAAGAAGACCACGGTGAGTGTATTAGGCAGATACACACTCACCTGAGAAGAAAAGTTGTTCCCTGCTCTCGTGCACTTGGAGCGTTCCGGGTGTGGGGGAGCTTTTTCATAGACTTTAGAAATTTTTCGATCAGAGGTTGCCTTGAGCTACTTAGTAGGACAGCTCGGGCAATCGCAGGACACCTAAAAGAAGACCTCGGTGGGTGTATTAGGCAGAGACACACCCACTTGAGAGGACTGTGTCCTGGGCTTCGTTCTTTCGGATCGTTCCGATAGAGGGAAGTCTTTTTCTTTAAGACTAAGTTTTATTGATCTGTTTCTGAATCATCACTGCTTTTTACCGAAGATTGTTTGATTTCAACAAAGCAGTGACTTGATACGAGTGTGGCAGTAAATTGATACTGACGAAAGATTGCTGTCACCTGTAGGATATTCTTATCTGATTGTCGATTGTGTTTTGTGTATTGATTATGTCTTGTGAAAATTTTGTGATACTGTTATACTATACAACGGGGTTGAGTTAGCATTATATCAATACTGAATAGGCCCTGTGTGTAACTTTAGCTGAGTCACTAGAATTGTCATTAAGAAATCTAAGAGACATTTTGATGCTAACGGAATCGAGTAGGCAGCGTTAAGTAATTTAACTTGATCTTGTTTGCGGTACGTGTGCATTGCATTAATTTGTGCGAGCATTACCGTTTATTACAAAGAATGCAGCGCAGGGACTCCTTAGGATTTACTACTAAGATTCCCAGGCTGAGCAAGGGAAGTACGCGAAAATTTAGAACTAGGCGTAGCCAATCTTCGGTTAGCAGCGTTCCAGACGTTTTTGCTGATAACGAATCGACTAAAGGTCAAGTTGATCTTTCAGTGAGCGAAATGAAACTAAGAAGCGAGAAGAACCTCCATGGCAATCAAGGGCGAAACGCCGAGGCCGGAACGGCGAGCGAGACGCTTATGGACCCTTTTGACGAAGGGGAACAAACGCTTATTTGACCCGACTTTGAGCCGAGCGAGGACCTTGAACGGGAGGAAGTCGAGAGGACAGAGGAGGCCTTGGAGCGTGCCGAGGTCGAGCCTCGATAGGAAGTAATGTTCAGGGGAATGTCCAAATCAGAGACCAAGAGTCACAAAGGGAGAAAAGATTTTTCACAAACGACCAAAACACACTCTTCTCTGGCAAAGCAGAGCAAGAACGCGATGATGTGGAGTATAAGTCCGAGTGAAGAAGAAACGGGTTCGAAAGCGAAGAAAAGTTGGAAGTCTCTGTACGATGAGCGCAGGGCGTCACTACAAACCGAAGGTCTATCTTCCAGTTATGACCATCCGGAGATAACACACCCGAATGTGAACTTCACGCCGTGTCCGAGGAACGACATCAGCAGAAAAGCGTTGTCCACTTCGGCGACCAGGTCTATGTCTGATGGGATAACCCTGGGAGTATCCTCGACCTTCGACAGATTGATGACGTCGGTGGGCAAACAAAAAGGCGGTGCGTCATCAAGTACCAGGTTGCAGCCGCAGTTGACCTCATTTTCTCTGGGGCTAACCCCGCCATTGGGGTCAACTGGCGATATAAGTGACATGTTTGCTGGCGTAATGACTGGTCTGGATGAACTGAGACGGGACATGACTAAAAGAATAGATCAAGTTGACGAGAGAGCTCACCAGGGTCGAGAGAATTTGAGAGATGAACTAAGTCGCAGGCGAGGGTTGATCAGGCTCGATTGATTCGCAACACCGATCAATGCCTGGCGGAGAGACTGGCACAGGCAATAAAGGAGTCAGAGGAAAGAGAGGCTGACTGTTGAACGATGACATGAGGATGACAAGAGAGGATGACAAGAGAGATCGAGCGACTGTTGAGGATGACAAGAGAGATCGAGCGACTGTTGAACGATCATGATAATACCTACGTCCATACGATGACTAGCCTGGAAAAAAGGTTAGATGCCAAATCTGACCTAATGATGCGGAAAATTGACGCGATCCTAAATGGGAGCAATTGAGAGGAGCGTTCCAACCCAAGGGAGCGCTCACGCCATGCGAATGATGGAGATGGTACGGGCAGCTATGCCAGGGCCCAGCAAAGTTCGAGAACGAACTACGATTCTAGGAATAGGGAGCGGCTCAGGGCAGCCCCCTCGAAGTCTAGCTGGACGAATCCAGCCCCGCCGGAAGCAGATGCTACTCCGGAGACATGGTTGCCCACTGTGCCACAAGTCAGGTCAGTGCCAGATCTCACTACGGTCTCGCAGGACACAACGATGTATGCCTCGATGTTTGAACCTCTGAATAGATCCCTCGAAACATTCATCGCCAAGCTCTCGAAGTCAACCGAGAGAGGAGAGAGGTCAAAAAGGACATTGAAGAAGCCTAACTCATACAAAGAGGAGTCAGATGGCTGCATTGATACTTGAATAGAGGCGATGAAGTTGCACTTTGAAGAGGAGAGTCTCTCCAAGAAACAGGAATGCAGCGCACTAACGAGTAACCTGGAGGGTACTGCCCTAAATTGTGTAATGGCGAAAAGAGCCAATGAAAGAGACAGCGCTCGCAAGATATTCGACATCCTGCTGAATCGTTTCGGCTCTGGAGTACAAGGCCACCAGGCTATGGTGAAGTTCGAAAAGAGGCGTCAAAGGGATGACGAATCCATAGACAAGCTTTCGGACGACCTTGAATTGCTTAGGAGGAGAAGCAATCCCGATGAGAGAATATCCGAGCGAAATTTGGCGATAGTTTTGAAGTTCATGGACGGAGTAAAGAGTGAGGAGTTGAAAACGATGTTAGCCACACACTTCACCCTGTCGCTTGACCAGGTACCCACGCCTGATGATTTGCGTATGAAGTCACGTGAATACTTGCTCATAAAACCAAGGGCGCAAAATCGTTACAGCAATTATGGCAACTACAGCGGGACGAACACTGGCGCAAGCTCCAGTTGGTACAAGCCTCGCGACGACATGGACAAGAGGATGTCATGTGCGAATTGTGGTTCGATGGACCATCATGTTTCCGGGTGTTCTGCCTACAAACAGAACATGAAGGCAATAGGCTACTTTCTCGACGACGTCGATGCGACCGACGAGGATCAAGAAGAGTACGTTCGAGGGCTCATCATGAAATAGGGACCGAGGTGCTTCTTCTGTAACTTGGAGGGACACTTCAAGTCGGACTGCACTCAGTTTTGGGATGCAGTGGCAGACGCGAAACACTCCCGCCACGAAGAGGCGCTTTCGGGTGTCAAGGCCAGTCGAGCACGTCTGATGAACGAGGCCGAGTCTCGGAGAAAAGAGACGGCGCCGAGCACCTTTACGACTAAGAAGGTGAAGACCTTGCCTGACGAGGTGGTAACCTCGAACCTGTAGGCAGAGTAGTCGGCCAGCCCTTTCAAAGTAGATTATGGTTTGGCGGCAAGGACAGCGTTAGAGAATGTCAAACAAGAGCTAGCCACGAAAGAAGTGGAGCAATGGGTAAGGTCGGAACTGGAAAGCACGGATCTTCGGGAAAAATTTAACATTCTGAGTAAAACGACGCAAGAAGAGGACAAACAGGAACCCAGAAAGCAGGGACTAAAACTGAATGTCATATCTGGTAGAACTTTCGGAATGACGAAAGAAGGGACGAAGATAATGTCCATTATCTCAGTCGCAGGACACCAGGTGGTCAAGAACTTGAGTGAACCATCCGAGATTACACTAGTCCACCTGGACATTTATGCAGACTACCTGAGGGAGAAAGATCCCAAGCTGGACTCCAGGGCAGTGCGAGCGATTTTCACGACAGGAGGTCCAAGGCTGATGAGAGTGGATGGACATTACATAGAGGTCCATGGCAAATATCCGATTCTGATGAATGTGGACGGAAACAACATTTACACAAAAGCTCACGTAACTGATGCGAGTGATCAGGTAGGCCGGATATATATTGGCCAAGAAGAGTTGAAGGTGCGACGAATCGGACACAATGCCATGTTTGAACAGGATGCGGTCTACATAGGTTGCGAAGCCGATCTGGCAGCACATGTGCAGACAACTTTCAGATGTGCAGGGCAGACAACTTTCAGTGAAAGGACTGTTAGACACGGGTGCAGTGGTCAGTGTGATGCCAGTCAAAACCTTGGACTGACATGGGCTTTGATAGGTCGGATCTGATACCGACAAACATCAGACTGGTAGCTGCCAATCAGGGAGCAATCTATGTGACAGGACGCACCCCTATTATATCACTGCAGCTTGGGGAAGACATCTTTGAATGAGCTTCCTGGTGGTGGAGAATTTGGACGAATCCGATCAATTCATCCTGGGAAGGGACTTTGTACGCAACTTCGATGTCACGATCGACCTCAATGACGGATTGATCAGGATCAAAGATCCGGAGAGGAAGTATGAAAAGAAACCTCTTGAAAAGAAGCCAATTTTTCTAGATCGAAAAGTGAGATTGAAACCAAACCAAGCCGTAGTAGCGACGTTTAGGATGAGGAATCTTAATGAACTCAGAAATGACAGACAGGTGTGCCTGGTACCAAATCCGAACAATAAGAGCTCGGCTATTTTAGGAAGAAGCTTCTCACTCACTCAGAGCGGACTGTGTGTGAGTGTGGTGTTGAGCACAGAAGCAACAACAGTGACAATACAGAGAGGATACAAACTTGGCTGCGCATTGCCTCTGAACACAGACTTTCAGAGAACTTAAAAAAGTTTGATGTAACTAAAGGTCCCTTGCATGCGAACCAAGAATGTATATTGAAGAGAGTAAATGAATTGAAATCTTCTAGGAAATTGTTTTGAATGAAGTCAGAAACAGATGATGGGTTGTCTAGTTGTTCGAACTTTCCCGAGAGACCGACAGAAACAGAGTTAGCAGCGAATAAACCGGTCCTACCTGAGATAGAACATTTGAAGGGTAAAATATCAGACAAGGAACTAGATTCGCTCAGGGCGGTGCTAGGTCGGAACGCAGACGTTTTTTCGAAACATAAGGCCGACATAAGTTGCTGTAATTTTGTAGAACACGAGATTGAGATAGAAGAGGGCTCGGTACCTCATAGGGAAGGGGCGAGAAGAATGACCCCTCATAAGTCAGAAGCGTGCAGGAAGGAAATCGAGATGTTAATGGAGTACGACATGATCGAGCCTAGTAAGTCCCCGTGGTCTTGTGGCGTGGTCATGGCTAAAAAGAAAGGTGGTAACTCAGGTTTTGTTGTGATTTCCGTTATCTGAACGCAGTGACTTTAAAGGACGCATACCCGATTCCCCGCATCGATGAGAGCCTATCCAAGTTGGGGGACGCGAAGTTCTTCACGACGTTAGATCTGGGATCGGCTTTCTGGCAAGTGCCACTCCGAAAGCAAGATCGTGAAAAGACGGGCTTCGCGTGCGAGCTGGAATTGTTCCAGTGGAAGAGGATGCCGTTCGGATTGTGCAACGCGTTGGCCACATTCCAGCGACTGATGGCCCAGGCACTCACGAGTGTGACGAAGAAATACGGGAACATCATCATGTGTTACGTCGATGATGTCGTGATCGCAACGCCAACCCTAGAGGATCAGATAGAGAGGTTAGATGAGGTGTTTACTTGCATGAAGCAGGCGGGATTGAAGTGTAAACCCTCGAAGTGTGAAATCCTCAGAGACTCCATAAAGTATCTAGGCCGCCTGGCGGATAAGCTTGGAGTGAGACCCGATCCCGAAGCGGTCGAAGCTGTTTTGACCTGGAAGGCACCCAAGACAGATACACAAGTGATGAGTTTTTTGGGGTTCACTAACTCTTATGAGGAATTCGTCAAGGGATACGCCGATAAAATATACCCCATGCAACAGTTGATGAGAAACAAAGGCAAAAAGTTCACTTGGACTGATGAGGCACAAGGTTCATTTGAAAACCTTAAATGTGAACTTTGCGAGGCACCAGTCCTCGGTATGCCAACAGAGAAGGGGATGTTTGTGTTGGACACGGATGCATCAGTGGTTGCGATATCAGGCATACTTCACCAGGAGCAAGAGTGGAACGGGAGAACAGTTCTCCATCCAATAGCCTACGGAAGTAAGTTCTTGAGCGATACCGAGATGAAGTATGGCGCACCGAAAGCGGAAATGTTCGCGGTGATCACTTTCGTGGAAAATTAAAGGGCCTACTTGGGCAGTGCTCCCTTCAAGTTGCGCATGGATAATCGTGCCCTTGCCTGGCTGAAAATATATTCGATGGATCAAAGTTATATTGATCGTTGGGTCGTGCGCCTGGACGAATACCACATGATTATAGAGCACCGTACCCATGACAAGCATCAAAATGCTGATAACCTCAGTAAGAAGACAAAACAGAATTCTATGAGCGACTCGAAGAAAAGTAGGCTAACCAAGCGGAGGCCAAAGACGGGTTTTCTTTCCTAGACAAGGAGACTTACGACAAACTACCACCAACTAGGTGGCTGATTAAGTCAGGGCACCCTATACCAGGACACTATGAACTTCCAGTGGAAACGGCCGCGGAGATAAAGTTTTTAGCCAGGGGTGAAGCCGTTCCGCTGGATATGCTAGTCCCATCCAATCTGGTACAGCAGGAGCTCACCAGGTTGGGTATAAACAGCATAGCTCTGCTCAACAAGAGAGTGAATGTGGCGCCGGACGTCATGGGGCAACTTAGTGATTTGCTGGATAGAGAAGTCGACAGAAATGATCGTGAGTGGATGGAGACCATGCAGCGATTGACCGTAACTGAGAAAACGGAGAAGAGGCCAGTGATCATTCTCGGTCGCGATGTGGAACGGGATTGCCGGTCGATAGTGAACCAGCTGATGATCTCAATGCCGAAGGATGTTTTGTTGAGGACTTCGTTCATAGAACGTGGGAGACCGACCCCGGTCCAAGTTACAGAGAGAGTCAGGGTCAAGTCGAAATCCAGCTTCACGAGAAAAGTACATTTCACGGATGTAACAGAGGAGTACGATCCGAGCTCAGATTGCTCTTCCTGGGACGAAACAATGTCCGGGGAGTCGGACACCTCCAGGCCCGTGCAGGACGATTTGTCCGGGAGAGGTTGATGAGACCATCTAGGGACAAAAATTTGTCCGGGGAGTCGGATTCAAAGCGACCAATGGACAGAGTTTTGTCTGGGGAGTCGAGAAACATCACAGACAGATCGATGACGGAACATGATGATGCGGAATCATTCGGCTCAAGTGATGACTCGAGGCCTCAGTCCTGGGACAACACATCCGAGACTACTTCCAATTCTGATGTTGGTGGACTGTTGGTGGACTGGAAGCAGCGCGGGTTGGACAGAGAAATGCATCAGGATACGGACAGAGACAGGTACACCTCCGAAAAGGAGGGCACTGTGGTGGATAATGCCGCCGATGAGCTCAAGCTGATAGCAGTCTCGAAACGCCCAAGGAGATTGCTGCCACATGGTACGGTCGTCCGTACCAATCTGAAACCATCTGTGCAGGAAGCGACGCCTTTGAAGAAGATATGGTGAGTCAAGTTGATGGACGATGCTCATGCTCCGGAGATAATGGGCGAGCAATTAAAAGTGATAAAGACGTATCTGAAAGCCAGATACCGGCTGTCGGATCTACTAAGGGCTCAACGAAATGATAGAATGACGAGCAATCTGAAGAGATGGATCGAGAATGGAGCACCTGACAAAGGAGGTTTGGAGGAGGACAGCTACAAGATTTTGAAGCAGCTTTACATGAAGAGAAAAGATCTACTGTACCTGAAAAAAGACGGAATCATAGCCTGTAAACAAAAAGAGGAGGACAAGGTCCTTTACAAGTACAATTCGATAGTGTTACCACAGTTGTGCCAGACTGAATTGCTCTTTCGTTCACATGATCAGATGGGCCATCAAGGAGTGGACAAAGTGTACAACAGGATACAGAAACGATTCGAATGGCCTGGTTTGAAAAAGGCTTGTGAAAAGTGGATCTCTGCATGCTTGTTGTGTCAACAGGCAAAAGACCCCAGGAAACTAAGATTCCCTCTGCAGTCAATAGAATCATCGGGATTCAATGAAATAGTGCAGATTGATCACAAGAACATATGCATGACAGCCACGGGCTACAATCAGGTGCTGGTAATCACATTCCAATCGGACAAAGGCAAAGCATTCGTAGGGGATCTCACGAAGGAGTTAATGAAAAGGTCGCAGGTAGCACAGGCCCGCTCGACCACTTATCACCCGCAAACGAATAGCCTGGTCGAGAGGCAGAATCGCACGCTGGTATCCATGTTGAGAGTTTATTGCTCACGCTAAATGGATGACTGGGATAGTCACTTGCTGCAAGTGATGGGTGCTTACAACAGCACAGAGCGTTCCACCACGGGAATAAGTCCGCATATGATGCTAACGGGTCACGAAAAAGCGCGTCCGTTGACGTTTTTCTACCCTGAATACGAAAGGAAGAGAACAGCACTGCAAACGTCCGTGCGGGATGTCATTAGAAGACAGCAGGACCTCAATGACTTATGCAGGAGGAACACGCGACAGGCGCAAATTAGACAGAAACGGAGGTTTGATAAAAAAAAGGACTGCCGATGCAAAAGCCTATCCATATGGCGATTACGTCTGGGTATTTCAGGAGGTGGTTCCACCAAAAAGAACCAAAAAATTATTAAAAAATGGCGTGGCCCATTTCAAATAACAGAAGTGCACCAAGGAGGTCGATATTATCGACTGGGCACAGGAAGAGCAGCTCATTACGAAAACATCAAACCGCACAATGCCTCATCAGAGGACTGGTGCATCCCAGGAGACATGGAAGAGGGAGACTATTTGATAGTGAATCCTGCTTGTGAGGTGAATGAAAGAGGCACTCGCGACAAAAACGACGGAAATGAGGTGGTGGATGATTGCGACCTACCACTGGACCTAGAGTTGACCGAGCGAGTAGAGGTGGCTGACGAAACTCTACCCTATGTCGAAGAGGACTGGTACTTCCCAAAACAGACTGAAATTAACAAAGGAATACAACCTGACTTTCCTCTCACCAGGGAGACACGCCAGAGCAAGAGAAGAAGGTGTAAGAAGAAGTACAACCCGTATGGCGAGTATTTCGTCATAGACAGGATAGTTTTAAGTGATATGATGGAGTCGCTGGTGGGATTGGATGAAGTAGCGGTGCCAAGGGAGATCGACTTGGTGAATGACATGGATGAAGATTGGATCGACGATCGCTCCGAACCAGAGGTGGATCAGGTTCATGAGCAAGAAGTAACGAACTTGCGAGTGCTCGAATGGCTTCACGATCTGCCGACGGATCCTAAAGAGACAATCTTGAAGATTCAGGGTGTTGATAAAGACGGCATCAAACACGTCAGCTATGACAATACCGAGTCCAACTGGGTCGCTCCAGATGGCCCTCTACGCGTTCCGCAATCCAATCTCGATCTGCTCGACCTTGGGCGATCGACGGGGACGTCGATGGATATTTTTGTCCGGGGAGTGGGGGTAGGACTCACCCACACCCAAAATATAATCATTAAACGGTTATAATCGGCACGAGAAACCGGAGAACTGGAGACGTAGGGCGAGAACGCTAAAAAACCACCTTTTGGACGAATTTTTGAATCTTATTTTGACCTACCGAACCATTATCCAAACATTATCGTCATAACGGACAGCGATTTTATACCCACGGAACGTACATGCGCTGTAGCGATAACCGCGGAAGTAAGCCCCAAAACAGCAATAGCGGCTGATTTCAAAAGAGAGTATAAGAACATCGAGTTTTTATTGAAACAGAGGCCTGGTGTGGGAGGGATGATAGCGCTGCCCCCTGTTGCATCACAGATACCAGGGAAATATTTGTGTTTCCTGGTTACTAAGGCCACTGATAGGCAACACGTAGATCCAGATAGCTTCGTATTGGCCTTGACTCGACTTAGGGATTTTCTGGTTGAGAGAGGAGTGACCTCTCTCTCGTTACCAGTATATGATCCTAATAGGGGAAAGCTACATCCGAGAGAGTTGTACGCCCTTGTACACGTGATTTTTTCAGAAACTGACATAGAGGTTTACTTACAGAACAAGTACTATCTGAGCATATGCTAGAAGTTGCATTCGGCGGTAAGTGGTTTTTATTAAGTTCACTTTATAGAGATTAGGATTGAGTTAGGTTAGCTACTAGGGAATATGTTTTTAGGTAATAATGGAGATACATGATGTTTTGATTTATGTTATTGTTAGGGTATGTTTTATGTGATGTTTATGTCCTGAAAGACCTGGAACACACCAGGTATGGAAGGTGACAGCGCTCATTCGTGTTACCTCGACAACGTTGAAGGTGGACGATCCACCTTGGTGCTAAGTTTTAAATCAGTAACGAAGAAAAATTTCTATGGATTGTTTTAAAGGAGAAAGATGTGAAAGATGTTTTATCCTGAAAATGGGACCGTTACTTGTTTTCATGTCGTTACTTGTTTTTTATATCTTGATTGATCATATCTTGTTTACTGAACCAAAGCAAACTTAAAGAAACTTCACGACACGAGAATCAACACGCAGAAATGGGCAATACAAATGAGTTAATGGAATTTCTCTCTGCGAGTCTAGGAGCGACTCTAGACGAGATCTATCAGCGGCTGATTGATTGTGATTTTACACAAGAAGACCCGTGATTTGCGATGTTTGTGGTCGCACTCCTCAACGCGTTGGGACGAGAGGGTCGAGGGAATCGCCCCACAGAATTGGTGTTAATGCTGGCCTTCGGTGAGTCCGGGACCGCTGAGAGAGGTCAAAATTGATTGATGAGATGGCGCCGAGGAGAAATGTCCGGACACGACTTGGCTCGTGAGCCGGGACTAGGCGAGCAAAGGGATCACCGGCTAGGTGAGATGCCCCTACCCGTTCAGCATGCGCAGCCGCTCATCGGAGCGAAAAGACTACATGATGGGCCGGGCCCGTCACACTCAGTAGACTCCCCAACCACTGCCCCTCCTCTCAAGAGAGTGAAGGTGAGCGAGATCGAGATACAGACCTCGGAGACGATCGAGACCTTAAAGAAGAAAAAAGGGATCAGGACGAGCTGTGTGCCAAGCTGCAGGAGTACAGGACAATATCTCGAGAAAGGGACGAATGGAAGAAGAAGTTTGAAGACCTGCAAATAGCCTACATGGAAGAGGAGATAAAACATCTGAAAGAGCTATATATGGCGAGGGTGAGTCAAGTGTCACCGGAGGTTCTGGCCACGATGAACTCCTCGGAAGCATCCAGGGACACACGTCCCAGGACGAGCGCACAGGAACTGTGCGCATCGAGAGGGCCCGGGGCTCCTCAGCAGACACCATGGTCTGCTCCCAACCCGAGAAACACGATACCAGACCCCTCCGACACCTATCTCGCTCAAGATGATGGAGTTCCAGGGAGAGAATCACCTAGACACGTTGGTGATAATGCTCGGGATAACGACGTTTCGAGGGCCCCTGAACCCCAGAGGGCAAGTGGGAACCCTACTGGTCTGCCTTTTGCATGAACTGAAGGAGAAGTACAGGCCCAGACTTGTGGCTCTATGCACGATACCACAGAACCCGGAGATGGACAAGCCGGTTGCAGACTTTATGAATGGTAACGTGACCCGGTGGAACGAGATGACTCGCGGTCTGGTAAGGAGCAACCCCAGCGGGCTGCGACTCATGGATTTAGAAAACATGCTGCGCATGATTGATCACCTCACGCTCAACAGGGATGGCATACACTTCAATACCCAGCAAAGGAGGCGCTGGATAAACGACGTGTTCCAGACGCAGTTGAGGGAAATGGAACAAGAATTGAGGACATCCGGCTCACTGGCTCGGACCAGTTCGACTGGAGGAGGTATAGTGAGGGGTAATGTGCCAGAATCACTTGCCAATCGCCTCGGGCCCCTGACGATGGGAACGGGCGCAACTGCTCCCGTCGCTCCGAGCTCAGATGTGAGAGCGAGGTTTGGGACTGCCCCTCATCCTAGGACTCAACCGTTGGAGAGTCGACTAGGCAGATCGGTTGATCAGAGCCGGATAAGCTCCCAGACCGTGTCTAGGAGGAGTGATACGTCTGCCA